AGAGGAGGGCTTATGAAGCTTCACTGCTAGCTGAGAGGTGACTAACCCATGCTCCAGTAGATGGCTCTAGCCTCATGTACATGCACGTAGCACTAAGTGGATTCAACGGCGGGGGGGGGCGCGTGGAGGTGTTATAATGAAGCTGGAGGAGATGGAGAGGAACTGGAGAGAAGGGAATAGAGAGTGGATCTGATCAAAACACATAAGCATAAATGAAATTATAAAAAAGAAAAACAGTTGTGGTTTGGGTCAGAGTGCAGCTAAGTTGCAAATACTTTCGTAGCGTGTGCTTTGCCCCCCCCCCATTAAAGAGGCAGGAAATGTTGGCATTTGCCTGTATCAGCTCCTTGACTCTTGAGGCAGTTAATGTGGTTTGCAATATGGAGGATCCATTTGCTAGACTATTCTGGTATGTGTGAGAATAGAGAGAAAGTAGTAACAGAAACCACACCCTAAATGGTATTGCTGACCTTACAAAATAAACCTACAAAATTATATACTGTAATCCCAGTCCAAAACTGATTCATTTGGAACTAGAGAGAGGGCTCATCCATTAAGAGTGCTTGCTACTCTCTAGCTTGATTCCCAACACCTACATTGGGTAGCTCACAGCCATCTGTAACTCCAGCTACAGGAGATCAACAGCTTCTCCTGCCCTCCTCCGGCATGTACACACACGGGTGCATAAATACACACACACACACACACACACAATTTAAAATTTTTACTAAGAATTTTCACTTTCCTTTGTAAGAATTTTTTAAAGATTCCTTTTTCGTTCATATTTAGAGATTTTCTTTCACATTAGCCCGTGCTGACAAAGCAGGAACTTTCTAGAATTATGACCTAGTAAGAGTGAAAATGGTGTTTCTCGATCTCTCCTCCCTTGCCCTCCAAGAGCAGAAGACAAGGGACAGCCACAGCATCAGGGAGTAATGACACTGACCTGAATCTGCTAAACTTCTAAGAGAAAAAAAGGATATAGGAAATGACATCAGAGGTCTCAGAAGGGACCTGGGTGTAGAGGTAAGAGCAATCACTCCTTAGCAACAGAGTTCACGCCTGCTCCGTGTGCAGTGTGCTCACAGATCTGCAAAGCCTGGATAACACTAACGGCCCTGTGAAAACAAGAGCATGTGGTGCTCCAGAGCCTGGGAAGTGTGGGGGCACGAGTTTCCAGAATCCTGCTACAGTACCCTTGCACTTTGCAGTGGTCACAAGAGCAAATTCCAAGCTGTGGATGGAGGAGAAATAACACTGGAGAGAAGGGAATGTACCGAGTCCCATGTCCCCGAGGAAGCCTGGGTGAGGAATGCAAACATCTTCAGGAATGGGGAGGTTCAAAAAGGGTGCCGCCCCTCTGACCCTGAGACAGTCCAAACTCCTCTCCATCCCAGGATTTGGGGGAGGAGGGAGGCAGAGAGTGAAGAAGCACATTTTAAAGGAAAGGAGTGTTGGTGGGAAGACAAAAGAAGGCAAAGTCAATGGGCTATTTTAAACTTCAAGACCTCTCTTCTCATTTGCATTGGGATAAAACGCAGTTGGTGGGCCATAGGCAAGAAAGAAAGAAAGAAAGAAAGAAAGAAAGAAAGAAAGAAAGAAAGAAAGAAAGACTCACCAGATCACCTTCCCAGAAAGGTCGAGGAGCAGGCAGGCAGCCACATCTGGGATATAAATAGCCCAGAGAAGCTGAGCTCTACAGTGCTCAGGTCCTGAAAGCCCCCAACTCTGGAGACACCAAAAAACAACCCTGGGGGGAGAGGGCGTCCTCCAAGCAGCTACTTAGGACTACAAAGGAGAAGGAAGCACCATTACTTCTCCTCTCTGCTGCCATTCTGCAAAGTGTACACCATGGCCTAGGTGTGTCTGTTTAAACCTTGTCTAGATTTAGGGAAGGAAGAAGGGCTGGGTGTGGCAAGGCAGATAAAAGCAGGTGACAACGATCAATGTGTGCATTTTGGCAAAAAAAAAAAAAAAAAAGACCACAAAAAAGAGTTGGGTTGACTTCAGTTACCCCATCCACATGTCAAAGGAAGCTATAGAAGGGTTTAGAGTCAGCAGAACCTGGGTCCAAACATGGACAAACTGCTGAGCTCTTCTGGGCCTGTTTCCTCATTTGCGATAGAGACAACCGCTCTGAGTATTAAGTAGATAATGTGTTGGAAATTCTTAACCAGTAAATACCAGGCAAATGTTGTCTTTTAATCTTGTGTGTTAAGTGGGAAAGTATGTTTCAAACTCAAGAGGTTCTGGGAGCCAAGATTGGATCAAAGGTCTTCCAAATACAATCCCCCAAAGGACACCGTCCCTCATCCCTCTTCCTTAATGCCCCCCCATCTTCCCAGTTAATTCTGTCTGGGTGATGGTCTTGTGCTGGGTGGGGCTGGGGTTTTTCTCCCCTCGAAGGCTGCCACACTGTAATGTTTGCTCTGCTTCCTTCCCTTCCAAAGTCTAGCAGATTAGATTGCTGCGTCCGTCCAGCTAACCAAGACAGACAAGAAAGTGAAAGCAGGACTACCCAAACCGCTCATGGTAAGAAAGCTCAGCAGGAGAAGCACTACACCCAGGCCAAAGTCCTAGCAACCAAGCCCTTAGAGAGGACAGAATAAAGAAAGCCTTTCTGAGACCCCCCAAAGCAACAGTGGTCTATGGCAAGTTAAACCTGAGCCATTCGGCCTACAAAGGGACATTGCCCAGCGCTGCACCTGCATGACAGCAGGACAGGAAATGAAAGAAGCGGCCATGCTCCAGCTCTTTTGTCTGTCTGGCGTTCCAGCACTTTCAGCAAACATCTGGGAGGAAGGCAACCACGCTCTTCTGGGGCTTGACTGGCCAGCTAGTCTTCCTGGCCCACCCATTGGGGGCTGGGGGGCAGTGCTGCAAGGCAAGCCCTCTGCCGCTGAGGTACACTCTGTTGCCCCCATTCCCACATTTGCAGATTCACCTCATCAGTGGCCAACAACCAAACCCTGTGTGTGCTCTGGATTGACTCTGTCCCCCAGTAAAACACCAAGCTGAACAGACAAGAGTTCAGCTCACTGGCATGGGAGGTTGCAGACCCTACTAATTCCTTAGCAGGAGAGAGAAGCAGCAAGCACCAGTGTAAGGGAAGAGGAGGGTTTGCAGTCCCCCTCCACCAAACGCACGCAGTTCCTAAATCAGTCTCCAGAAACTGCCAGGTATGAGGTAGGTAAGGATCCCATTGTCAGCCAGCTAAAACTCCACTGGGAATACCACAATCTGTAAAAAAAAAAAAAGAAGTTTGCAAATACAGCCAAAGAACTCTCCGTCTAAAGACAGCAGCTAGAGGAAACCCTCATGACTCGGGTTTGATGTCTCACCATCCTTCTGCTTGCTCTCAGGGATAGCTTTCATTCATTTGCTCAACAAAAGTTACTCTTGCTCGAACCCTGGCTCAGGCAGCACCTAAGGGAAGCTAAGATCTGCCATGACGATTACGCGTCACACACACAAAACAAACAAGCAAGCAAACCTCCTCTGGCCTCTCCAAATATCAGGGGCTGCAGCCTGGTAGTCTAGGTGCTCTGAACAGCCAGGGTCCTCCACTACCCTGCCGAGCTTCTCGCTCACCACTCTCTTACTTCGTTCTTATTATAACCCAGGCAAGTCATTAGACGCTGGGAGGGTAGAAAGAAGTTTTATCTTCAACCCCGTTGCGTCTGTTGCTGAAGGCTTTGTCCTCCCCCTCGGAAGGGGGCGGGCAGCAAAGAACGGAGGAGGGGGGATGACTTGGAACTTCAGCCCCAACTGCAAAGCAAAGTGACCCCAGGAGCCACAACTGGTTCAGACTCCCCCTGCTCCTCCTCTAGCGTTTACAGTCTGGAAAAAAATCTTTGAGTCCGAACGAAGACAGGAGTTATAAACAGAAGATGCTTAAGAAGGAAGGAAGCCTTTAAGGTGAAAGACTCGGGCAGGGCGGCCAGGGGCAGAGGTGAACAGGGGTGTCCTGGGAATGCCCTGATACCCTTTCCTTCCCACACAACCTCCTTTCTTTTTTCTTTGCCTTTTAAATTTTAACGGCACAGTCTCCGAGACCGAGCAGAACAAGGAAGCGAGGACGCTGAAGGGGACAGAAAGCAGGCTTCTCCCTCGAAAGGGTTGCCTAACCTGGCACCGACCTGCGTTTTCCACCAAGTCACCTCCATTGCCAGGAATCCCAGAAGCCCATGGCGGGACCAGACGAAAGGAGGAGTCTCCCCGGGGTAGCATTCTAGGCCCGCCAAGTTAAACCGGAGTGAGAAGGAGAAGGAAGAGGCTCCAGCACCCCACTCGTGCCCGAGGGACTTGCCTGGGATGTTCTCTGTGCTCCTCCCCTACCCGCTGCCCGGGCAGTCCTTGCGGGGCTACTACCCCAGCGCTAGCACCGCGGAGAAGTTTCGCCGCTGCAAACGTGAGAAAATGCAGCTCCACGGGACACCGCCCCCACACGCCCCACCCCACAGCCCGACCCCTGGCGGTGGCGACCTTGGTCACCCTGAAGGCGCCAGTGCACGGGAGGAGGGGCTGTCCTCGGGGCTTTCCTAGGAGCTTGGGAGGTCTCCCGGATCGGGCCACCTCCGGTCGTCATCCACCACCCGGACTGGCGCCATCGAGCCCGCGCGCTCGCTCCGCCCGGCCAGGGCCCTTGCGCCGCGCGCTTCTCCACCCGACTCACCGCGCTGTGCGCAGCAAGGGTCGCATCGGGTCCCAGGGTACTGCGCCTCGGGGCTGCGACTCCCAGCCTGTCCTGCCGCGCTCTTCTCCCCCACCCTCCGCCGTCCTCCAGGGACGTCTCTTGACTCTTTTTTCCGGGTTAATTACGTTTCGCATTAAAGTCAAACCCAGCCCCGGATGTGAGTACAATACTCCGTGGGCCTCTGGGGGAGGAGAGGGGTGCGGGGACCGCGCGGGGACAGCAGAGGGGGTGCGGGGGAGAGGGGGATGTGGCCGGGCCGCAGCAGGTGTCCGCGCCGGGGTGCGCGACCCGGCACTTCACGAACCTACTCCGCAGGGCGCAGCCCGCCCAGCCGTTGGGTTCAGGGGTGGAGAGAGGAGTGCATCACCCTGAGGTCTGCAGTGCGCCCCAAGATCCCGGTGGGCTGCCAGCTCTCTGACCCGGCTTGCCCGGCCCTTCTCGGAGCACGCAGCTCAGTGGGAAAGAGCAGCCCGGATTTGCTAGGTTCGGCCTAAGGTGACCGACAGAACTGCTTCCTCACCCTGCAGCCACATAGCAACCCATAGGTATCAATCCCGTGCCCGATGAGGAAACCGAGACTCCAAGACATTAGGTAACATGCTCTGGGTCCCCAGTCAGTAGAGGGCAGGTCTGTCCGGTCTGACACAGGCCTTCCTCGTGGGGACATAGACATTTAAATGAAAGAAAAGCTAGGCGGACAACATCCGAAACCTAATGTATAGTGGATTCGCCCAGGGACTGGGCACCGAGAGATGCCGCATCTGGGGGATGCTGATGTCAGCCCCGCGGGTCCAAAGAGTCCTCCGAGGGAGCAGCGTGAAACTCGCCCCGGGAGGCTGTGCAGGACCAGGCCTGGATTCGCGGGTGGGCAGGAAAGGCCAACTCAACAGCAGAGCAGTGTATGGCAAAGGCAGCCTGAACCAAAACCTGGGGGCCGAGGGCCACAGCCAGGTGAGCCGCCGGGAAGGCGGGACAGCCCGCAGCACACGCCCCGAAAGCTCCAGTGATGAAACCGCAGGCGCTTCCTCTTCTATTTTGATTGCCAAAGCGAAAATGGGCCGCCCAGTTCGCTCAGGTGTGAAAAAAAGACGTTTGCTTTAGAACATTTTGCTCTAAATGAGGAAGGAAAAGACACAAGATTGGGGGGAGCCATTTCCCTTGAAATAAACACCAACGTCAATTTTGCGCGTTCGTAGAGGTCTGTTGCCCTGCGCTTGGGCTTCCAGCAGCCTTACCCCCAAGCTGGGTAAATCCCAGCCGGTCCCCCTCCCCTAGGCAGCTGGTGACCCGTGACTTGCTCGGGTCAGTGAGTCAATTCTTGCAACGTGTTTCTTCCCAACACAAAGGTGCTATGCGATTTCTTTTTTAAACGAGATGGTCATTTTTACCGTAAAAAGGAGCATAATTCTTGGAGGAGGGGGATTCATGCTGGAAACCATCAACTCCGGTCGGACTTGCCGAATGAGTGCTGCCTGAAAATCCCACTGGGACGATAGTTTAACAGCAATGCAAGCGTCAGATTTCATGGTATGGTTCCTATTAAAACCCATAAAACTGCTCCTGTGGGGGACTGCCTGACTCACCCAGTCACAAGTGTTGCTGAACACTACTGTATTGGCTGCCTGGGAGGCAGAGAAGCCAAAGGCTTCGATTTCCTGCACAGATAAGATGGGAACCTGTACCTTTCCGGATGGCGGGAGAAATCAACCTTCAATATTCCGGGGAGCTAGACCAGCCTCTGTGACAGGGGTTCTCGTGGGCTGAGCTTCTAGTGAGCCTAAGAACTAGTTTAGGGTAAGCTTTACTCCCCGGGGCGGGGCGTGTGTGGCAAGAATGGGAGCTGAGGAAGGGTCGCACTTCACTGGGAACCCCATACTGCCACCTCGGTCCCAGGGTTCTGCATTGAATCCAGTCAGTTCTATCATTCTGGTTTCCCAGTTTTCTCAGATAGCCCCTACCACCAACTCTAACAAGCACCACCCAGCAGGTCTGCAACTCAGCTTGCTATAGTCTGTCTCTGTCTGTGTCTATCTGTCTCTCTCATAAAATACACATACCAGAAATTACACCTTTGTAACCAATTCAAAGTAGCATATTGTGCATTTGTCACCACTGTACAATTCCAGACAGTTTTCATAATCCCTAAGGGTGACCCCGCAGTGTCCTCTCCTCCTCACTATTTTGCTTTCCATCAAACCTACACACGTGGGACATTTCACATGTGACTACATGGCAGCAGCTTTTGTGCCTAACTTCTCACACGCTTGGCATTTCTGGTAAGATCATTTTGAAATCTTTTCATTCTCTGACTTAATGCATTAACTTTGTCTCCCTGCAATAAACCAACAATGTGAGTCTCACCTAAAGGGTGAGGGACATCAGAGACAAACTTTTCCGTGGACTATTTCGGTCACCTCACTGAATCAGAGCAACATAAAGTTCCAAAATATGTTTAAGGTTTTGTAGCTAGTTAGTGGTTTCAGCTGGCTCCAGAACACGGAGCTAAACTGCTGTTAGACTCTCCTACCAGAGAAACTTCCCCTGGAGATGGGGCTGTCTGATGAGAACTAAGAATCTAATCAGCCCTGGGTCTTGCACAGCAGTTTCTTCGTGTGCTTTCTATTTCCAAAGCTGGTGAACCAGAGGAGCTAATGGCATTGAGTGGTGAGCCAGTGTTCCCTCCAGAGAACTGTATTGATCTTTGTCCTCAGAGGTCCCGACCATTAAGGTTCTGAGCTGCAGCTGGGGCCACTTGATGACACCAAAGTCAATTCACTTGGCCCTCTTCAAAACCGTTTGTTTTGCCCAGAGGTACACTGCTTCCGGGCCACATAATGTACCTCCGAGATTCAGAGGCCATTTTTCTAGGTAGTAGCTTTTTTTTTTTAATAACAAAGTGCCACAAAGCAATTGCACCATTCAATTCTACGATTACCTAAATTTCTGCTATTCTGCTCAGCTTTTGAGCCAGTTATGTTTCTTCCCATACGAGTTCTATTTTCTTCTTTTCTAGGGACTTACTGTTAACTGCTTTACGTATACGCCCCTTGCAGTCTTGCAGTGATGCCGAGTGCCAGGATCCATTATTTCCCTATTTTGTACAGTGCAAAGATGAAGCCTGGGTTCGGAGCCCAGCGGCCTCATGCCAAGGTCGGCCCTTCTTCTCCTGAGCTACATCCACTTGCCTCAGTTCCAGTCATCCTATTTCCACTTCAGGGCATGTCCTCAAGGAGGTCATGGCTACAAAAATGCAGAAATTTTTGTGTACAAATGTGCATATTCACCTCAGCGTTGTCCCCCATGTTAAGAACTGGGAATCATTTAAGGGGTAGGACAGGTCAACACTGGTATATGAACGCATTCTTATACTGCGCCCGGAACAAGGAAGAATGTAGTTTGGGTTGGGAGCTCATCCTAAACCAGCACCAGAAAGGCCCAGGGGTCAGTTCAGAGGACAAAGAGCTAGAGGGAGAGAGGAGGAGAGAGGAGGGAGGGGGAGGGGGAGGGGAGGGGAAAAGAAGAAATCCTACTTAAAGACATTACAAAGTTGTATATATCATACAAAATATAAACGTGAATGACTATTCTTAATTTTAAAAATTATTTTTATTTTACGCGCATTGGTGTTTTGCCTGCATGTGTGTCTGTGTGAGCATGTCAGATCTTGGAGTCACCGACTGTTGTCAGCAGCCATGTGGCTGCGGAGACTTGAACCTGGGTTCTATGGAAGAGCAGTCAGTACTCAACTATTGAGCCGTCTCTGCCTCTCATTTACTCGGGCACCATCTCTCACCGAACCCGGAGTTTGCTGACTCAGTTGATCTAAATAAACAAGCTTGTCCTAGGAATCCCTTTTCTCTAGTTCCCAAATGCTGGTTCGTCGGTAGGTCACAGTGCTCACCAGCTCGTACGTGGGTCCTGGAGAGCCAAACTTCAGCCCTCATACTCGGGCAGCAGACGCTGTATTCACTGAGCTACCTCTAGCCCATGCTTACTTTTCTTAGTTTTGCAAAAACGCGTGTTTGTTTTTAGTTATCAAAAGAACAATTATTTAAGTTTTAATAAAAATTGGGGCTGGAGAAATGCCTCATTGGATAGGAGCACTGACTGCTCATTTCCTAAAGTACCTGGGTTCAATTCCTAACACTCACATGGCAACCTACAACTTCTGTTAACTCCAGATCTGACACTTTCACAAAGACACACAGACAGGTAAAACAAGCACACATAATTTTTTAAAACGAAGTAAGTTTTAATACAATTTAAAAGTTCTATGGGATGGAAACGCACATTGCTGTGGGGAGGGGATATTGTGGGTAAAGAGTTAAGTAGGACGAGGCACACAGATCAGGGGAGGTTTGGGAGAGATGAAGAGCCAGTTATGGATGGGGATACTAAGGAACAGGACCTGGAGAAGACCTTGATGGGTGGCATGTGTAAAGGTGAAAAGGTATGAGAGAGAAGAGGGGGATTTGGGATCAAAACTGACCAAATGCAGGCTAGGGAAATGGCTCAGTTGATGAAGTGCTTGAGTTAGTAAAGACAGAACAGCATGTGCCTCTAATCCCAGCCCTGGAGATGCAGAGGCAGGAGGATCTCTGAGCCTCATTGACCCACAGTCTAGCTGAATCAGTAAACCCCATGTTCCAGAAGAGACTCTTTAAGGGGGGGGGGGTGAAAACTGCCTGGGGAAGACACATGACATCAGCCTGTGGCCTCCACACACAAATGCTCATATGTTCATGCTCACATGTGTACGTATTAGTGCAACACCTGTACACACACACAAAGGATGATCAAACCCAAAGTATTGGTGCGGTGGGGGGTGCCGCGGAACAGTTCAGAGGAAACATGGGATAGTTACTTTTCTGGTGGTCGTGAGAAAATGCCTAACAAAAGCAACTGAAGGAAGCGAAGGAGAGAGGTGGGTAGGAATGTCATGGAAGCAGGAACTAGAGGAGGACACTGCACGCACAGTCAAAGCAGAGGGGGCGAAGGTTTGCGGTCAGCTCACCGACTCCTTTCTCTTCAGCCTGGGACCACAGCCCTCAAAATAGTGCCACCCATCTTTAGACCTAGTCTTTTCACCTCAGCTAACCCAATCTAGAAAGTCCTTCCCTGACATGCCCAGACCTTTGTTTCCATGGTGACTCAAAATCCCATCTTGTTGACAATTGTTTACAGGCACACAGGTGCAAGGAGGAGTTTGGTGGGAACAGCGGGGGAGACGGGGAGCTACAGCCGCTCTGGTGTTAGCGGTGCTGAGCGAAGGCTTCTAAATAACCAGCGACAATCTACAAGGGTTTGACTCCCTGTCTGTCGTTAGCTGTTCCAACAGCCAAGGAACCCGTTTCTTCCCTTCCCTGTGTCTCTACAGAGCAGTGGCGGCAGGACAGAGACTGTCAGGGGCGGCTCAACAAAGCACTTACCCAGCATGCTCCAGCACCCCCATCCCAGCCCCATCCTCCTGGCCCCACGAAACTAAATAAAAATCGGTGTTGTGCCTTTGCATTGAAATCATTATATTTCACCCTGAAATTGGTCTACAAAGAGCCAGCTGCTTGCACATTCTTAGGAGATAATAGATTGTTAGTTTCATTTGACAGATGGAAGAATACAGTTTTTTTCCCAGTTCTTCGAAATTTTATTCTCTTGGACATGTGTGTAGTATCTCATTTTGCAATTGTGCACACATTATGCGCCCAGTTTCATAAAGATGAGCTTGTGTGTAGGTACAATTAT